GGAGCTGTTCTGGGACGATGGAGACAGTCTGGACACTTTTGAGCGTGGAGATTACTCATTCATCATCTTCCTCGCAGGACAGGTAAAGCTGTTTTTATTAAAATGCTAAATTCCTTTAGTTTTTATGAGGTAGTAATCATTAATTAACCCCTTAAAGGAATAGTTCAAGAAAAAAATCAGATTTACATAATTTCCCAGTTATTACAAACATAGTTTCTTCTAAGACATGTTTGGTGTCTGAAGATTGCTTGTTTAGTTTTGCACTGGAGCTACAAGGCTACCATAATCAGACGTGGAAACAAGTCATTAAGTTGCAAGTAATGTGTAAGTTTCAAGTCTTGACACTCGAAGCCCGAGTCAAGTCCCAAGTCAAGACAGTTGAGTCTCGAGTCAAGTCCTGAGTCAGTACAGGCAAGTCTTGAGTCCCAAGTCAGTACAGGCAATTCTTAAGTCAAGTCCCAAGTCCTAATCTTTGAGTCCTAAACAGGTTAGTCTACATCCTTCAGCTAATTTAAGGCCATTTCAACACTAAACATCATTTTAGTAGTGTATGGCTGTGTATTAAGGTTTTTTTTTTCCCTTACAAATAAAATGCAAAAACATAGTACATGGAAAACCATGACAGATACACTGGTATACACAAAAATAAGTGCACTACACATAAAAAGTTCTATTAATATATATATATATATATATATATATATATATATATATATATATATATATTTGAAGATTATTTTTTAGTTTGGCAGTGCTGGATTCAAATAAAAACTAGCTTAGCACTAAATCTAGCTCAGCAAATTAAGAACAACCACTAGTTCTAACTGAATTTAGACGAGAAACAGAAACCAAAACGACTAAGTTAAACAAGGTTTACAGAAAAGTCAGCAAAATGATGGTGAATGATGAAGCTGAAGTCGGCTTCTCCGAATTTCTGCAAATTCCAATATGAAGCTGGCCAATAACAAGTTAACCTCAGCCTCATGGTGAATGCTGCGCTTGTTTTAACTGCAGAAGCTGTATTAATTGGTCAAATAGAGAGAGCTGTGTTTCCTTTGTTTTACTACCATGAGGAAAATGGTCATTTCACCTGGACTGGAGTTTAAGCACTGAACGAGGGATTATTGATGCTGAATTCTGATGCTTCTCTAGCGAAATAAAATAAGCCAAGCATAAGCACAGTAACAGACTTAACAGCGCTACTGCATCAGGAAATGAATCCATTCACATGAAAAGTAACAGTCTACAGTCGGGCGCCTCTCTACGTTTCTTCCACTTTAAGTCTCGAGTTTTTCCTAGTCATGAGACTCAGGTCTGAGTGAAAGTCCGAGTCACTGGTGTTCGAGTCAAAGTCGAGTCACAAGTCTTTCTCGAATTTGTCGAGTCCAGTCTCAAGTTATCAGATTTATGATTCGAGTCTAACTCGAATCCAAGCCACATGACTTTAATCTACACATCTATTCCCATCATTTTTTTTACTGATATTAAACAAATAAACTTGCAAACTTGGAAAAAATGTGTAAATTAAAATCTTTTCATTAACCTGCAGGCTTTTATAGACTCAGTTAATCACAAGGGGGGGTCACATTACGCTTTATCTGAAGGCTGAAAAACATTAGCACTGTATGACTTTTTGTTGTTCTGTGTTTTCTGAAGCCAGCTTCTACATGTTGCTAAGCAACAGAAGCATTGCAAATGTCAGTCAGCTATGCTATCATTTCGATATGCACAAGCAGAAAGCTCTGCCACTTTCCCTTGTATAAAGTGTTGTACTAATAACTAGCAAGCAGGGTGCTACTAGCAAACCCCACTGCTTAGAGTTTAACTTTTCTTTTGGGTTAAAGGTGGGCAATATGATATTTTATTGTTATTGTGATAAATTTTGTTATTCTTCTGGTGCATTGTGTCTTTATGTCAAAATTGTAATATGTGTCGGGTATCATGAAAATACCTTTTTTATATCATTATTGATATTTTTACCATATTGCTCACCCTTACTGTAGGTGCCTAAAGTGTTCGGCACAAAAAAACAGCTGCTCAGGGTGTATAAAACATGAGGCATCCAGCATGCAAAAACCGTGAACAAAACACATGTATCTCACTGTGAACCCCAGACTAAGACCTGATTCAGCCTTGTTATTCAATAATTACTATGATTTATGCTGTATAATGATTAATGATGACTGTCTTGATGAATCTGCAATAATCAGTGTGCAGTCTTCTTCATGTTAATGCATATTTGAAATTCTTTAAATTCTTTTACAGTAAGAAAAAAAGGCTGAAACACACTGCTTTGGGTGTATTTTTTGCCATATCATTTTTAAAAGCTTTTAATGATGCATGGTTTGTTAACTGGTTAATGTAGTAGTTGGTATTAACATTTAAAACCTAGTTCCTGATTTAAATGATTTCCAGTGGGGAATCTCTTAGTATAACTAAACCTGAACAGTTGCTCTTCAGGTCAATGACTTCATTTGCCCTCTAGTCTAAGCTGGTGAGTGAGCCATTAAAAGTGAATGGAGCTCTGGATGGCTTAGTGCTGGGAGAGGTGCGTGTGTTTGGAGTTCCAACCCCCCCTACAGGTGTGTGGGTTAATGGGACAAAAGTGCAGGACTACTCATACCACTCTGACACCAAGGTAAGACCCGTGATTAATGCATTAATGTGTTCTGCTTTGTTTTTTAGTAAGTTTGCCATCTGTCAGTCATTTGTAACAACATTCTAATATTAGGCTTGGAGTTCTAATATAATTATGGTGTAATTTTATTAATAATAACTTTAGTACACTCTTAAAAATAATGGTAAAGATGTCAGAAGGTTATGCTGATTATCTGAAGAACATTACTGAAGATGGTTCCTTAAAGAAGTTACACGTTTTCCTAGAACCACAGATCCCTTTAGGACCTTTTTTAAGGGAGTTTTAATAGTTCATTGTATTTTCTAGTTTCTGAAATCAGATGAAGGGAATTTTAGAGCTCATATTTTAGACAGTTAAATAAAAAGCATAGGTAGTAATATTGCTAATCTTTTATTGACTTGTTTGTATGTGTCTGTGTGTTGTAGGTTCTTACGGTGTCCAATCTGGCCCTGCTCATGTCAGAGACGTTTACCATGCAGTGGAGTTCATGACAGCATGAGCAGCCTCTGATGCTATTATTGTCACTTTGCTGCATAAAAGAATGTCTGTCAATGTGCCCTTAGATGTCAGAGTCACATATACCAACAGATTATTTTACTGACTGAATTTTGGATAAAGAGTTTTTTTTAATGTATATATTTTAACTTGCATTACCAATAAAAAAATTTAACATATTTATTTAGTATATTTCTGACTTGTTATTTATCAGCTGTTTTTCGTTTTCTTATTTTCTTTCATATCTTGAGCCCTTCTCCATTTGTTGTGTTCCAGATTTTGAATAGTGACTGTCCATGATGAATCCCTGGTACTGTTTTCCTTTTGCTCCTTGACCACATCATGAACAGACCCAGCATATAATGCTTAATTAAATATAATGCTTAATTAAATGTAATAGTGTAAGACGTATGAAAGAACTACAATGGTGTAATATATCTCTATAGCTCTGCTAAAAGGAGCATTTCTTAAGTAATGGTTGAGCTTTCCATCTGATTGCTTTCATCATTGCAACAATCATCCATCATTTTATCTCAAAAATATTAAACCCCTTAAGTGGCCAGGACATTTATTCACCACTGCTGTAACTGAATAACAACTCAGTTACATTGTAGTCCATGTATTTACTGCATAATATGTATATGTGTATGTATATGTGGGGATTGTAAAGCATGCCGACAGTGGACTCTGGAGCAGTGGAAGCGTATTCTGTGGAGTGACGAATCACACTTCTCTATCTGGCAGTCTGATGAATGAGTCTGGGTTTGACGAATGCCAGGAGAACATTACCTGCCTGATTGCACTGTACCAACTGTAAAGTTTGGTGGAGGAGGGATAATGCTATGGGGTTGTTTTTCAGGGGTTGGCCTAGAGCCCTTAGTTCCAGTGAAGGGAAATCTTAATGCTCAGCATACCAAAACATTTTGGACAATTCTATGCTTCCAACTTTGTGGGAACAGTTTGGGGAAAGCACAGAGTGTACAAAGCAAGGTCCATAAAGGCATGGCTGGGTGAGTTTGGTGTGAAAGAACTTCACTGGCCCACACAGAGCCCTGACCTAATTAACCCCATTGAACACCTTTGGGATGAACTAGAACAGAGATTGCGAGCCAGGCCCTCTCGTCGACATCAGTGTCTGACCTCACAAATGCAAAAATTCCCACTGACACATTTTTTAGAAAGCCTTCCCAGGAATGTGGAAACTGTTAGCTATATATGTACCTATATATGTACAGTGTATGTACACACACACACATACATACATATATATATATATATATATATATATGTATATATATATATATGTGTGTGTGTGTGTGTGTGTGTGTGTGTGTGTGTGCTTAAATGTAGATACCTTCTTCTAACTTACATGTTTGCCCATATTTTATACGTAGAAAATTATTAAATATTTAAAGTATAATTTCTCAGGACTTAAAAAAAAACCACAACAGAATATTTTTAGTATTTTTTTAACTTTACTTTATATCTTATAACTTTATCTTTAAAGAATTTCTTTATCTAGCAGGAATTTGTCATCAGGGTTTATTTCACATGATTAATCCTTTCTTTTGTACCCACATTAGTAGCAGTTCATTGACTGCCGATGCTGTGGTCACGTGGTCCTCCTGACACTCGCTGACGCGTCAATTCGGCTCCACCAACCACATACATGCAGAAAACGTAGCCTCAGAAACGTCACGGCCAATTAAATGCTAGAAGATTAAATAATATTTTAATTAAACCTTCATCTTGCTGTTTATGTGTATTTCTAACGTTAAGCTCTGCTTTACTGTATACTGTAAAAAATATAAGCAGATATTTTAAGCGGAGTGTTTTCACGGAAGCAGCTGATATTTTGGGGGTTGGGTTTCAGGATAGTAACGTTAGAGCAGCAGCAGCAGCAGCGTGTCCTGTGAAGGCTGTGAAGGCACACGGATAAACACACACACACAGGGTGCAGGACAGCGTCAGCAGCCTGATTTCCGAATGTAATTTTACTGACGAGAACAGTATAGAGATGGACGAGCGGCAGGCAGTGTAATTTCCTCAGGGACTGAAGGTAAGCATGAACCGCCGCTGTGTTTTGCTCGTCTGCTCATTTGAAGGCATATGGGCAACAGTAGTCTGCATCCCACACGGATGCAACCGCTAGTGATGGAAGGCTGCTCCTTATGAATAAACCAGCTCGACGTTAAAGGTCCAGTGAAGTTATTTTCTCTCAGTAAGCTGCCTAGTAGGCTCGGAGAAGGGTTTTACGATGAGGCGAGATGCTGAGTTAAGGGAGAAAGGCTGGTGTGCTGAGCAGCAATGAAGGTAAAAGTCAGTTGTGAAAGGCTATCGTGTCAGAAGGACAGCATGAGCTTGAGATAGGCCCAAACACGGACGACCTCCATCCCTCAGCTAGACTGCAGTATAGGATGTAGTAGGACCTCATCTACAGGACTGTGTTGAGTTGAGCTGTTTGTCATTGCTGTTCACTTATTAACTTTCATACTTAAGCTGAATTACACTTGGCTTTAGTTCCATGACCTACTTTTCTTCTCACTTAGTAAACCGTTCTAGGTTCTGTAGGGCCTGAACAAAACTTCAAGTGGTTATATTTGCTCAGCCAGCCACAGCAGACTATTTGTCCTGCTCCTTGTTCAAAAGCCATGGCTGTATTTCTGACACATGCTCTGCAAGTCTGTGCCAGTCCCAGAAGACCCAGAAGAGCTTACTGGGCTGTGTGGAGAAGTCTGGCAGTGCTAGAGTGTTGTCTCAGAGGTGCTGACAGTATGCAGGAGAAAGGCCACATACTTAACCCTACACTGCCTTCTTTTAGTGCTATCGTGGCTGAATAAAATATCACTGTCCTTGTGCAGCCTGGCATGCAGACCAGTGGTTTTTCAAACTTGTTAACCGGTCGTGTAGACCGGCATGCAGACCAGTGGTTTTTCAAACTTGTTAACCGGTCGTGTAGACCGGCATACAGACCACTTGTTTTCAAACTTGTTAACTGGTCATGTAGACCGGCATACAGACCACTTGTTTTCAAACTTGTTAACCAGTCATGTAGGCCAGTGATTTTAAAATTTGTTATCCAGTCATATAGACCAGCATGCAGACCAGTTATTTTCAAACTTATTATCCAGTCGTGTAGACCAGCATGCAGACCAGTTATTTTCAAACTTGTTTATCAGTCATGTAGACCTGTCATAAAGACCTTTGGTTTTCAAGCATCTAGACCAGTGGTTCTCATACTTGTCCACTAGTTACGTAGACCTGTCAAGTAGACCTTTGGTTTTTGAAGTTGTAAACCAGTCATGTAGACTGCCATGTAGATCAGTGATACTCAAACTTGTTAAGCAGTCATGTAGACCAGCATACAGACCAGTTGTTATCAAACTTGTTAAAAAGATATGTAGCCCTGTCATATAGACCTTTTGAAGTTGTAAACCAGTCATGTAGACTGCCATGCAGATGAGTTCTTTTCAGACTTGTAGACCAGTCATGTAGGCCAGCATACAGACCAGTCGTTTTCAAACTTGTTGACCAGTCATGTAGACCAGCATACAGACCAGTTGTTTTCAAACTTTTCATCCAGTCAACTAGACTGGCATTTAGACCAGTGGTTGTCAAACTCAAATCCAATTCCACCAAGTCCTTTTACGTGCAAGTGTACTTGGCCAGTAAAGTGACTCTGATTCTGATTTATCAGGCGACCAGTGTTTTTTAAATGCTTATTTTTCTTAAGTGAACCTTTATCGGACCTTTCAGGTCTGTGCACAGTATGTTAAATATAAAGCTTATTTTTCATCTCAAACATTTTGGTGACCCAAGTTTTACCTAACAAAACTCACTTGAGGGTCATGATCCAGATGAAAACCAATGACGTAGACCAGAAAAAATATTTGGTATATTTGCTCACCAAATATTTCTTTGTTAGTCAGCACTGAGTGTAGTTCAGAATTCATCTTGAGAAGATTGCTTTTCAAAGCTGTGTTACATCCGCCTTCTCTTTTCTTTTCTCCAGCTATGAAGGAAACATTTGTAGGTGGATGGTCGCAGATTTTTTGTCTGCTATAGGTTTTGTATGATGGCCTAAATAGATAATAGTTCATCGTGATGCTATTCAGAAGTTCCCAGGGCTTGGGGCATCTGTGCAGCTGCAGCTGCTTGATGGATCTGTTCTGGCCCTCTGAGGCCAGTTTGAGAAAATCTCATTAAGATTTCCTCAGCGTTAGCTGAGTTTTGCAGATAGCCGACTTGAGTGAGTCCTGTTTTCTTCAGGTCACCATGACTCCATGCATGTTTCTCTGCACTGCTGACTGGAGTGCGTCTTTCTGCCACTAAGAACTGAAGGAAGTTTCCTTTTTTTCCTAATCTCTGACTTGGGGCTCAGCTGATAGGTTTGGTTTTCAGAGCAAAATTTTTTCAAAATGTTATGCAGTGCACTTACAGCAGGCTGCAGCAATACTGCAACCCCCACAACTAACACTCACACACTCACACGGCAGATTACAGCTTGATAAAGTTGTTTTCTAAGAGCAAAGGTCAGTAGGCTGCCGCCAATCATCAGATACTCACACCACTGTAATTAAAGGCACGCTTTATGCATCATCTGTCATTTGTCAACAAACTACAATACTTAATGCAGGATTTACACAGCTTACCACAGGCTGTTCTGGAATAGCAATGGTGATATGGAGAAAATAGCATTTGCTAGCTAATTAAGAGTTTGATTTCCAATGAATAAATAGTAAATGTAATACGTAATCATCTGTTTGTGTCTTTTTTTTATACACAGTGTCCCCCAAAAGCCATTTAATCATTGGCAAAGTTTAATGAAGTTCTTTAGGTTACTTTGTAGAAATATATTTGTTTCAGATTTTCACGTTTTAACTGCAAACTGATGGTAAACTCTTTGTGTGGAGAAAGCCTGGAAACAAATTCCAACCAGACTGCAGTAAGGCTGTTGTGAAAGTGGAAACGTCAAATATTTCAATTTTTTTGTGTGTGTGTTCCACCAGTGTGGGAATTTGTCCAAAATTTTTCATGTGCATATATGTCGATGCTGATGCTCTGACAGTCATAAAATGTAGAAATTAGGACCCAATCCACTTGGATTAACATTATGACGATTTCTTTGAAAGGAAATATCTGCTGATTCTGGTATGATTCCAGTTTTTACTGTGGTGTCCGTTTGCTTATGTCCGTTGATATCCTGAATTTTGGATGAAGGACTGCAGACGTCTGCAAGATAAACTGTTTCATCGATAATGATCTGAAACACACCAGCCACTTTTTCAATTGGTTTAGCCATAAAGAACTTTGCCACAAAGAAAATGTCTATGAAATTAAGCTTAAAATAATGCTTAAAATAAATGCCACTTGGTTTGACATTCGTTTCCCAACACAATGAACTTTTTTAAGTATGGCACAAATGTCCAAACACTTCATTGGGCCATTGTAGTCTCATAACTGACAAAATGTTATAATAGCAATAAAATATCACATTATTCTGTATTTTTGATGTTGACTCAGGGATTCTGAGGCCACCTCTGCTGCTTTCCATACAGGGGTTTCATGTAGTGTAGAAGTGGGTAGTGGGTAAACTGGCTCACAGATCAGAACAAAGCGCAATTTGTGTAGATGAGGTTATCTCAATAGAGGAAACAGAAGGCCAGAGTTAATCGGGGGGGAAAACAAAGCAGTGGAAAGGAAGACACATTTCCATAGAAAGAGTTAAAGAAAACATTATTTGATTAAAGAGAATAATGATTAGGCCAGAACTGGGTGCAAGCAAGCATTGAGATTAACCACAACAGTTAAACAACAACATTCCTGATAAGGAGAAGTTTATCACATGCACCACAGCTAGCACATTGCGTAATTTCCTTGACCCACTAAAATGACGTTGCAGGCAGCTGAGACCTGCTTAGAAATGTGACTTTTGGGGGAAGGAACAAGAAGTAAGAGTTTTTGACAGATCTCGTGACGTGCTTTAGTTTGAAAGTTTTGATCAGTTTGTGCTGGGGTGAATCTGTACGGATAGTGACAGGATCAAATAGCCACCAAAGACAATTTGCGGCTTTCCCACACAGTGATGTGAGTGTGTATGTGTGCATGTGAGTGAGCGTGTGTGTGTGTGTGTCCCTTGGAAGTATTTGTTGAAGGTGTGACTGTGTATGAGTCAGAGATAACCCTGCTGTTCAGCCATGAAGAAGACGTGGCACACAGCTTCCAGTCACATAGTTAACTGAGCTGATACTGCTTGCTGTACTTACGTTCATCGCTAGGAGATGTGTCAGAATATTGGGATAGTCGTGAAAGTTTCAAAAATATTGCACATTGTCATGTATAAGACCCATGAGCTGTCTGAACTCTCACCAGAGAGGCTCTGTACAACCTGCATCTCATGTTTTGGTCAGAGTTTCTTGCTTCTTCCAGCAAAAGAAGGAAGCATGTAAAGACTACTGCAGCCAGCTAAAGACTACCGCACACTGGACGACAAGCTCCGTGCCACTAGAGAGTCTGTCTCTGAGTAGCAGCAAGTACAGAGTGCAGCTATAGCACATAGGAAGCATTGCAGAACAGTACCAATAAAAAGTAGCTTGAGCTCATTATAAATCATAGATTTAGTGTAGTAACATCTGCAGTATGACTTAGTGAACTGGTCACGTTTGGTGTCCACTAACTAATTCTTTACAAACGTATTATTTTGTGAGCTAAAATATATGAAGGTAAATACGATACGGCTAGGCTAGCAATGTTAGCAGAGGTAACAGACTATTAGCAATTTGTTTGTTGAGCTTAAACACTTTCTTTGTGTAAATTTCAAGCCACATGCCAACCTGGATTTGTGGTCTGGGTTTAATATAATACAGTAGCAGTAAGATGCTGAGTGGCGTCACTGTCTCTGGTGGTGTTCCCCTGGTGTGTCCGGTGTGCGCTAACCTCTAGCCTTAAGAGTCCTATACTTGGTTATTATTTGAAAATTTTTGAATAATGCCTGACAAATTTAAGTATCAAATTTGACTGCAATACCCATCTCTATTGTAAGTCTTTTTTTCAAAGGATCATGAAATCTCACACTTCACCACAATTTGATTTGACTCAGTTATTTTGGTACAGTTCAGAATTATTTTAAATATTATAAAATACATTGAATACACAAATGTGACCAGTAGAGCTGTTTACATAGTAGTGGAATTTAATGTTACTGAAATCAATATATTGTTGCTGTTTTTTGGGAGGCCTAAATTACTTGTAATAAATACGTTCTCCATTTTCCTCCATTAAGAGTTAAGAAAGTTTTTCTTTCTCTTGTAAAGTTAACTATTTGAGATATGAGATTTGGCTCTGAGAGTGACGATATAATGGATTCCAACATGCTAATATCAATGCAGTTGAATTGGCACAATGCATTTTTCTTCACATATTCATTGAAAGTTGACTAACTTGGACTGTCTGGGAGCCAGACACTTCACTGATGACGCATCCATATTTGCAGAAACGTCTTTCCTTTTTTTGAGTAGTAGTACAGTGCTGTCGTTGTACTTTTCTCACGGTGTACCACTCGCTCTACTCGTTGCTGATCTGCATACATTACCAGTGAATCACAGTGAAAGTGTAATTCACTTTATGATCACAATGAAACTCTTGTATCTCTCTCTAAACTGTAAATGCGTTCTTTTGTTTTTCATTTTCTATTTCACTTCTTCTCTGTAAGTCCACTATCTTTGTGTCAGTGGTAGGGGTGGAAAATGTTTATCAGTATCGTGATAAAGTATGTCACAATAAGCTTTTTGGAGCATATTGTGGATATTACCCAACTGTGTGTTTCATTACAATGAGAGCATAATTAGTTCTCTGAACTGTTGACTTAAATCATTGAACTCAGAGGTTTTGATAGTACTTTTTAAATGTGGCGCTACTGGATCATATCTATCCGTTCCAGCTTATCAAATCTCAGAATAATAAATGTTGTGATGCATATTGTTACGTTGCACCTATATGATACTGTGTTGGTATCAGCGCCGATACTGGCACCTAAACACAGTACTAGTATCGTCGACGGGGATCCTGATACCTACGACCGATAGCACAGTGCGGTTTCGGACACACTTGTGCACTACTGTGTGACCCATGCATGCAGACCAGTAGAACTTAATATGTTGGCTGTGTGAGCTTGTCAATAAAAATGCTCATGCTAAAATCTCTAATGGCAGTGTATCTGTGTCTCTGTCTCTCTCTCTCTCTCTCTCTCTCTCTCTCTCTCTCTCTCTCTCTCTCTCTCTCTCTCTCTCTCTCTCTCAGAGGATGGGAGCAGTACCCAGGTTTTGGAGATGTCATTCGGTCGACTCCTGCGACGCGCCTCCTCCAAAGCCTCTGACCTCTTGACCTTTAATGCGGGGTCGGCGGGTTCTAGGTCCGTGCTGGACGGAGAGATCATCTTCTCCAAGAACAACGTGTGTGTGCACCCGGCTGAGCCGCTGCCCGGCCTGCCCGAACACCACCCAGGTACGGCTACACTTCATGATGATCTTGACCGAAACCAAAATTCAGGACACACCTGGCTGAAAACTGAAAGATATTTTATATCTCATTAGCCGTTTATTTATGCTTTTAAAATAATAATACTGATGATGCTTCAAAGAAGGAGAACTGATTGAATGCTAAAGGACTAATTTAATTTTTAACAGCTTGCTAAGTAATATTAAATATTAAAATAGCACCTCCGCTGTAATGATGGAAAATATATTATATTTTTATACAAATAGAACTCCTGTATAGTCTCGCAGTGCTATTAGCACGGAAGTCGCTTTAGTGTTCGTCATTTAAAGAAGAAATAGCTGTAAACCTCAGCAGAGTCTAGCAAACACACAAGTTTACAGTAACAACTTTCAAAACTAGAGGTAAAAAAGTTTGTTACTGAAAGATATTTATTTTATTTTATTTTGTATTATGTGATTTTCGTTCATTTTTTTTTTCTTTTTTCACCTAAAATATCTGAGCCATTTTTCATTCAGGACTATATGGAGATATGAAGAAATGATGATGCACCAGATTATTTTATTTATTTTTTACTTTAAAAAACTTAACAGCGTCATCATCCACTTAGCATGATGACGGCAGACTACAATAATGTATAATAAAAAGAGCAAAACTCTAACTATTACTGTACCGTTTGTGTTCTGGATGTAATACATATCTCCTGTATGTTATAAATATCTCACATCGCACTGTTGGACTGCAGTTTGCACTGTCGGATTGTTGATCACAGTTTCACTCATGCATACATGTCTAAAAATTGACACACAGCCCTACGAGCTACCCTAAAGACATGGGTTATTATTGTACACTCCATTTCCAAAAAATTTGGAACGCTGTGCAAAATGTAAATTAAAACAAAATGCAATGATGGGCCAATATTACAAACCCTATATTTGATTGAAAATAGTAGAAAAGCAACATATCAAAAGTTTTATTGTTTTTTGAAAAATATATGCGTTTTGAATTTGATACCAGCAGCACATTTTAAAAAAGTTAAATAAACAGCTGATTAAACATCACACAACTAATTAGACTAAATGGCAACAGGCCAGTAACATGATTGGGTTCACCGCTCTGTGAAAGAATGTGAGGGTAAATAGTACAACAAGTCAAGAATGATTTGCAAAGTAAAATATTAAAGAACTTGGGAAATTCATCGTCTACGGTACATAATACATATCTACATCTATCTCTTTGTCCATTTTATCAGCTCCACTTACTATGTAGGTGCACTTTGTAGTTTTACAATTATAAACTGTAGTCCATCTGTTTCTCTGCATACTTTGTTAGCCCCCTTTCACCCTGTTCTTCAGTGGTCAGGACCCCCTCAGAGCAGGTACTATTTGGGTGGTGGATCATTCTCAGCACTGCAGTAACACTGACATGTTAGTGGTGTGTTAGTGTGTGTTGCGCTGGTCTGAGTGGATCAGACACAGAAGTGCTACCGGAGTTCTTAAACACCACATTGTCACTGCTGGACTGAGAATAGTCCAACTTCCAAAAATTCCCAGCTAAAAGCATCTTTTAGACCACTGATTAAGGACTAGATGCTCACTTACACAAACTGTGCAGCAACGGATGAGCTATAGTCTCTGACTTTACATTTACAAGGACCAACAAGGTAGGAGTGTCTAATAGAGTGTATAGTGTGTGTGTGGACACAGTGTTTAAAAACTCTAGCAGCACTGCTGTCTTGTGTGTAACTTGTGTGACTATGGTGCTGAGAATGATCCACCACCCAAAAAGTGCCTGCTCTTTGGTGGTCCTCTGGGGGTCCTGACCATTGAAGAACAGGGTAAAATACACAGAGAATGTACAGCCCCATTTCCAAAAAAGTTGGGACGCTGTGCAGTATGTAAATACAAAAATAGAATGCAATAATGTGCAAATCGTGTACACCATATGTTTGAAGGAAAATACTACAAAGACAACATATGAAATGTTAAAACTGAGAAATGTTATTGGTTTTTGAAAATTATATGCCCATTTTGAATTTGTTGCCAACAACACATTCCAAAAAAGTTGGGACAAGGTCATGTTTACCACTGTGTTCGCATCACCTCTACTTTTAACACCACTTTGTAAGCGTTTGGGAACTGAGGAGACACTGTAGTTTTGAAAGTTAAATGTTTTCTCGTTCTTGTTTGATACAGGATTTCTGCTGCTCAACAGTTCGGGGGGTCATTTGTCATATTTTTCATTTCATAATCCTCCAAATGTTTTCAGTGGTGAAAGGTCTGGTCTGCAGGCAGGTCAAATTCCAAAAAGAATTTCAAATTTTGATTTGTCAGACCGCAGGACACTTTTCCACTTTCCCTCAGTCCATTTTAAATGAGAAGAGAAGGTGGCAGCATTTCTGGATCCTGTTTATATATGGTTTCTTTTTTGCGTTTTAGAGTTTAAACTTGCATTTGTGGATGCAGCGATGAACTGTTTTCACAGACAGTGGTGTTCAGAAGTGTTCCTGAGCCACTGCAGTGATTTACACTAGAAAATCGTGTCTATTTTTAATTTCAGTGCCACCTGAGGGCCCAAAGATCACAGCCAGCAAATACTGTTTTTTGGCCTTGTCCCCTGCATACAGAGATTTCTTCAGATTCTCTGAATCTTTTAATGCTGTTATGTAGATGATGAAAAGCAGAAGTTCTTTGCTGTTTTACGTTGAGAAACATTATTCTTGAATTGTTGCACTATTTGATGGTGCAGTCTTTCACAGAGTAGTGAACCCCTCCTCATCTTTACTTCTGAAAGATCCAGCCTCTCTGAGATGCTCTTTTTATACTCAATCATGTTACTGACCTGTTGCCAATTAACCACCCAGTGTGTTTTTAGCATTACACAACTTTACCAGCCTTTTGTTGCCCCCGTCCCAACTTTTTTAGAATGTGTTGTTGGCATCAAATTCAAAATTGGCTAATCTTTTTAAAAAAACAATAATATTTCTCAGTTTCAGCATTTGATATGTTGTCTTTGTACTATTTTCAATGAAATATAGGGTTTAAGTGATCTGCACATCATTGCATATATGTACATAAATATAGAGTCATGAACACAGAATCACTTAATACAATGTCCTTATCTGTGTGTGCCATCAATCCCAGCAATCTGTCAGTGTTTTACACTGTCTGAGTCTGTGTGTCTGTCTGTGTTGTGTGTGCTGTATCGCTCCTCTTTCTTTTTTTTTCTCTAATTCTATTTCTGTATGTTCTTTTCTTTTGTATGCCCTGTGGATTTGATACTATAAATGCTTCATTGTCACTCATTGTCACTTTTCCTCCCTCTCTCACTCTTCTGTCTCCCTCAGTATCCCTCAAAAGTTTGGCTTCTCTTAGCTTTTCTAAATGTTATAATAAATGAGCATGTTTTTTGGTTTGTAGTATGTTTACAAATAAAATACTAACAGTGCACCTGCACTCATTGGCCTGCCAATGGCAACCATATAGGTGCACTTTGTCGATTTACATTTACTGACTATAGTTGTTTTACACAATTTGTCAGCCAACCATCAGTGGGACCAAACATACCACTGATGAATAGCTGGAGCAGAGGGCTTCAAACCTGCATCTTGAATCCAGTTTCTGCTTCTGGATTTGTAATGTTTTGGATGGTATGACACCAAGTGGCCAATCAAGTGATTATAAAAACCAGGACAGGAAAGTGGATTTAAGGTCTGAATTTGAAGAGCCCTGAGCTTGAGGATGACTAATATTGTATGACCAATTTTGAATGGAAACAGATGAGGATGTAACCTTAAACTGTACCAGATGGACCAACAAGATATAAAAAGTGCTTAGTAAGTGTACACAGTGTGTAGAAATACTTCAGACACACTGCTATACCTCATACACTTAGCGCCACACACTACTGGTCGGCAGTCTTTGTGAGGTGGTTCCTTTAGATTAATGAGTAGCATACAGGCAGCTGATGAATGGTACAGGAGAGATGGGATATCGTCAGTAACTGTAAACTTAGAAGGTGCACCTACAGTATAGTGCAAAAGTCACAACAGTGAGTGTGTTTTTACTTGTATAAACAACATATATAATGAGAGTAGATGCAATAAACAGAAATACAGTAAACAGTAACAAGAATTACTTATTTTGAAAAAAATAGTAGTCGACATCTTGAGAGATAAAGGAATGAAGGTTGATTTTAGAGGTCTCATGGTCACCCCCAGCCGTCTCAATGATGTGTTAAATTTCATCAACAGCACACTTGATTCAACATAATGAGATATTAATTAGCCAAACCAGGTCATGAGGAGAGGTTTGGAAAATCACAAACACAGTTATTTTTATTTATTGTAATATTAGTGTTTTTTTACGCACATAAATGTGTATTGTCCAGACAAATAGCTGTTGAATATAATTTTGCACAGTACTGTATATGGTAAGTGTTTCAGATAAAATGGACATTGAGTGTAGCTGCAAGGTAGGTATACCTAATGAACTGCAACTCAGTGTGTTTATGACAATATTACCTTTTTAATAAAGCCAAACTCGACAGATTTTATACTTGTTTTGAGATAAACCTTTAAACCACCTTTGTGGCAAAAGATTTTCAATAGCTCAACTTATTGTTTAGGCAGCTCTTCATAGCAAGACACTTTTATTAATACGAATCAGAGTTACAAAATATACCCAAAATATTATGCTAATGCAACATTTTCATGTATTTTTTTTAACTTAATTGAAAAGTAATGTGAAAAAATTCAGATTTCTAAAGAAATGGGTACCTACTGGTATCCAAACTGTTGCTGAGCAGTATAACTTATGTGGCTCTGTTTTTGTTTGTTTGCTTGTTTTGCTCAGGTTACCTGTGTGTTCACCTGGAGAAGGATGAGACTCTTGGCTCCACCCTCATTCTCACCTGGGTGCCTAACTCTCGTATCCAGCGGCAGGACGAGGAGGCTCTGCGTTTCATCACTCCAGAGAGCTCTCCAGTGCGCCGGAACCCGCGTCGTCGGCCCCGCCCTCCTCAGCACCGACCACCACCTGCCCCAGAGGAAGAGGAGGACGAGGAGGTGGGGGTGGAGCCCAGCCTGCAGCAGCTGCAGCTGGAGGATGGAGATGAAGGCTCGTGCGAGCTGTCTGCGGATGAGGTGAGCCGGGACAGCACCCTGGGCTCCGACTCCGACACCTTCTCCTCACCCTTCTGCCTGTCCCCCGTCAGTGAGGCGCTTGGAGAAAGCAGCAGCTCTGTCTTCCTGGACAACGAGAGCAGGTGAGTGAGGGTGGAAGTAACAAGTAACTGAAGGGTTTAGTACCAGAGATTATAAATGGTACAAGGAAACAGAAATTATGCAGTATTTTTCACACTGTGTAATGGCAAACGGGAACAAAATCAAATAAGAACTAAATAAAAACTAATTTAAAATGTGGTTCACCAGTTAAACAGAAACAGTACATTTTTATCAACCCCCCATTTATTTTAACTTTAACAGGAAATACATAATCAAGTTATTAACCACTTTGCTGCATTTTAAAATATAGTTTTCACTTTGGAACATTGAAAAAGAGTTCCTGTTTTCAGTTACATTCTGTGAGGATTGTGGTTCTTTTTCAGTTTTCGTTTCTAATAGTTTGTAATCAGTTTTTAGTGCACCAATCAGGTATTTGTAATGCTTCAGTTACTCAGTGTGTTATTGCACTGTTAGATGCCAAAATCTGAGCAAGTGCTAAAGAGTTTGTTAGATTTAGATTTAAGCCTAAAAGGAATGGCAGAGAACACTTTGAGAGGGTGGTGTAATCTTTTATCTTTCTTTCTATTTATCTATTAAATTACAGTTCAGTGAAAAATTAAATGCACACAGGTTTTTCTTTACCCCAATATAGGTGACAAACCAGAACTTGTCTAAAGTTTTTCTCCTGTTGAAAAAAACAAAACAGTTTTCTCCCCAGTTAAGATGTGGTCTTTCCACCCGTTAGCCATGTCTACCCCATCACACGATGCTACCAGGCAGGGAGGGTAAAGGCTAGCACATACTTCCTCTAAGCCAGCCACCACATCTTTTTGAGCTGCCGCTAATGCAATGTCATTGGACAGCTCAGAGGCGCAGAGGGGAGCCCATCTTATTTAAGAGAGAGAGATCCCGGTAACAGATGACTGTGGCATTGCTATGGATCAAACTCTCAATCCCCCAGTGAGTCCACTGCTTACATGGTCACACCGCTTGGTGCCCAGCATTTACTTCTTTTGTTTTGCACACTGCTAGTGTAACCCTTTTGCTCACACAGTCAATCATTTGCACACTTGTATAATCTCCTTAGAAAAGCATTGCCAGTAGAGCGGGGCACTCTGGAGTAGCTGGACGTAAGCCTAAGGTCACCATGCCTGATAAGTGTTGGCCAAAGGGGTATAAATATCCCGAGTATTGGGCAGTAGAGCAGAATGTTTTGTCCAGTCTTATTCGCAAATGGCCAGTGTTGTTGCAGGTTCATTTCAAACCAGTAAGAGCACTCCTAACTCCAGTGGCTTAATCAGTTAATCTCCGTCTTCAAACAACTGATCTTGTATGCTTCTGCTTAGTTGGAATGAAAACCTACAACCACACCAACACTTCGTGGACAAAGTTTAGGTGATGCTGGGCTACTGCTCCAAAATATGTTAGTTTTATTTGGTTTGCTGCATTTGTATCTCTGTACAAATAAATGTAACTTCTATTATTTCTCCATGATGCTAATTCAGTTGGATTTAGTGCCAGTCTCTACATTTTATAAATGGTTATCTAATGACATCAACAGATGTGTACTATTAGATATTGGCATCACCCACAATCGGTGCACCACTAATTAATATTCTTTATTTTAAAAGAAACGTTGGATGAACAGATGCCTTCAAACTTTTGGATGTACAGTGTACATAAAATGAACAAAAAAGTCTATTTAAGCAAAGTAGCATACTTTATGTATCTTGGAAAATCAACTAGCGTGAGTTGAAAACTGCATCACAGTGAAATTCGCTGTAAAAATGTGTTACAAGCTGCGGCATTGTGAGCCACTGTATCCTTTTCCACTCTGAGCTTCTGAATTTTAAGAAGGCATTGTAAAATATTAACCTGGCATTCGTTTGAAAGCTTTACAAATGACCTTTAAGGTCCATGTGTTGGTCTAAGATCTAAGTATCTTTAAGTATTGCACATAAATTTCCAGGGAAAATCACAGAACACAAAACGTTTGTGGTTAGAATGGCAACACTGACCATGAAGCTCCCGCTCCAGTGGTTTGATGATGCATTTGAAGCGGTGTGCTACAGCAGGTCAGGTCAGTAGTGCATGCAGTAACTGTAGCAGCACAGAGCTTATCCATAATTCATGCTGGCTTAGCAGGGCTTATGTTTCTCAGCAGGATACTATCTCATATATCTCCTTCATGCCGAACACATGATGTGCCGATCTCCTGTCTCAAGGCTTGGTGGACATTCCGTTATTGCCATATGTGATTCTGAGCCTCGTGGAAAGTATATATTGCATACAGATGAGTGACAAATTAAAGGAAAAACCTTAATAAATAAAGGGAGAAACATAACAAGTGCAGATGCTTCCAGACAGGTGTACTGCATGACACACATCAGCAAACAAAGTCCTACAGTGCTCTGTGGCATATAAAAGATGCTGAGAAGTACCCAGTTGACCTAAATTTTCAGATCAAGATGACAAGAAATGACTAAGGGATCTCAGTGGCTTTGATTTGGTTTTTATGGCAGTTCATGGGGCATGGATGGCAGGAGCTTTAATCACAAAGACTGCTCAGCTGGCCAGTGTTTTAGTAACAACAGTGCCTAAAGTAACATCTGCATTTAGATCTATGGGAGAGACATGTCAACAGGTCTGGCTATATATATATATATATATATATATATATATATATATATATATATATATATATTATGGCTAAAACATTGTGCACATTCAATAAGTATGATGCATTTGCATTACTGTAACATGTAAGAAAAACCAGAGTAGGAGTGGTCTTTTCCAGAATGGTAGTGGGGGCCCATCACAGAGGGGTCATGAGGGGTCACATATGTGGATATGTTGCACTGTTTGTGTAGGTGTCTGCCAACTAGGGATGCATCAATATAATTTTTCTCAGACTGATTACAAGTACAAGTACATGCTGAGACCAATACAGATACCATATTGAGTAACCAACTTAAAATTACATAGGTGTTGTTGTAAATGAGTGCAGTGTAGCTTAACAGTTAAATCATTAAAATCTAGCTGATTTGAAATGACATGCCTTAACTAGCTATGCCACATGAGTTACTTAAGTTGCTACATTTGTTCTAAGTAAAGTATGTTTCATAGTTTGGATCCTCATGTGCCCCTTTTTAACAACAGTCTCTGTAGCACAGAAACAGCAGGAATCACATCCTAGGGTAATCAGAGGAGCTCATTTTATGTTGAATGTTATGTATAGTTGGAGTCTTTTTGGATGGTTGGCTGGTTGTGGCTGTAGTTAAATATCCTCTAAAGCCAGGCATGCACTGTGTGTTTAGAAATGTTGTTTCTTAGTGACACAGTTTGGTGGATGTAACATGACATGCAGCATCTACTGACGGCTTTGTCTATGGACAATTATCAATAAAGCTGTTTCATTGAAAAGAACATGCTGCCCACACGAGTTCTGAGCAAAAACACTGAGAAACTGCTTTGCCAGCTTGCGCCGCACTGTGCACTGAAACCATTTTATTTTTTTGCCTCTAATTTACTATCCTATGTTTGTCCACCGGTATTGGGGAAGTAGTTGGGATTGTATTTGTGGGTGTTTAAAAATGGGCTAAAATCACATTGTGAATGTCTGGTGGGACTTTTCCAAGGCAGGATGTTTAAAGTGACCAGCAACTTTGTGTCTGACTGCCACGACATCAGAAACTCTCCGTGTGAGCAGAGCCTCGTTCACTGCCAGTTTGAGCCTTTTGTTCATTGGCACGGCAGCGTACGCTAAGCTTACCTCACCAGTCATCTTGTTTTTAGGTGCTGTGCAGATATGTTCAATGTGTGGTTGAGATTTTGGAAGTGTGCACATCATGGCCTCTGCAAGCTTTGTCGGCTACGTTTGCCTGTGAGCTTCTTTACTTAGTGTTGTAACAATAGATTTGTTTTCTTGATGCACCAGTTATCATTCCAGCTAATGCAGCTGCATCAGTCGTAAAAAGGAAATACTGAATACCAAATCGTATACGTTGGTCAAAAAATCGGTTAAAATAAAAAGTAAAAAAAAAAAAACGTTGCTTTCAGACTTTTAACTGTTCTTTGACGCAGCAGCCTCGCTCTCCTACGGCCATGTTCAGCCATTTCTTTCGAAATCTCTTCAAATATGAAGGTTTTTGGATGAGTCTCTTCTAATTTTTGTACAGAAATATAACCCCAAATGTTTATTAGGTCTCAGCGGCGTGAAATTATGATGAATGTCGAGTTGGATTGAAGTGAAAGCCGCGTGAATTCCAATCTGGCTGTTGAGACGATTTACATTAAGATATGCAGAGCATATTTACAGTACAGACCTTGTCAGTGAACTATGAGGGCAAAAAAACAAACAAAAAAAACCAAAAACAAAATAATCATTTATTAATCATTATTGAGGTAAAATATTCAATTAATCATAATATTGATTTGAGGTCATATCGCCCAGCACTGGTATGGTTTGTGTTGGCCCAGTACCCTACTAACACACATCATGTTGTTTTTTCCTTTAATAAGTCACCTGTCTTTTGTAATCTGTGACGTAAGTTTTCTGGTTGTCTGTAAAAACATGTTTAGTGCTAATGTTTCTAATTTAGCTGGTGCTGATCCATGTTAAAAGAAAATTGTATGTCACATTTCATTACCATTTTCTAGACTAGTTTCTTGGATTGTGATACAGTCTGAGAACCGCTGGCTTGTCTTCAATAACAGCTGATAAAACAGTGATGTGTTTCTGCCAGATCTGCTAAACAGAACAACACTAATCAGGTTTCTATTCAAGCTGTTGAATTTAGTTAGATTTAATAATTGAAATGTTGAAAAATAAAGCTGTTTCCATCAGCTCAGTAGAAGAGATTAAAACTCTGTGTCACAGCTGTAAAACATAGAGAAATCTTCAATGTTGACATATTGAAATATGACATTATTTGACATTACCTTCAACATGCTGACATTTTCCAGTGGCTACTGTGTTGCATGACTACATAATGAAAATATCTTAATTACTTGACCGTATTCAATACGAAAGCAGTGATGT